TATGAGTCTTTTTCTGCATTTGCCAATATCACTAAACTAGGACATGCTGGAAAAGTGGGGGAGCCAACTAAATAGCTTGTCATCCTTTGAACTCCCTGTCACTGCTAATTCTTTAAGAGTGCATTATGCTGTACTATGAGGAGAGTGCTTTGTGCCCACATCAGCAGTTTAAAACAATTAGAAGAGGAAGTCATTCGACAGAGTCACAGCTGAGGCCTGTGGGACATCTAAAGATAGAGCGTGAAGAGGAGAGAACACAGCAGTGCAGACAGACAAGAAAGGGCAGAAAAAAGAATAAAAAAGTAGAAGAAAGGGCATCCAAAGTGCCACTGTAAGCTTTTTAGTGCTTTGTAAGATTGTTACTGCCAACTGGCGTTGTAAAACTGTTTTGTGACAATGACTGTTGTAAAAAGCACTATAGACATAAAACTGAATTGAAGTTAATGCTATATTAGCATTAGCCTCCTTTCAGTGAGAGGTCATTCCACACAGCAGTGCCACCCTAGGTAATGTGATCATAAAGGCCGAAGGAGGTCAAGGAGGATGAATGAGGAGAATCTTGAGTAATATATGACTTTGCCGCCATCTGTTGATGTAGTGTGATACTTCTGCGCTCTTATTTTATGACTGAGCATGAAGTGAGTTGAGGCAGTGCAGAAGGGCAGTTTCATAAAAATCAGGCTTTCTAATTACAGTATGACTAGATTTCAACTATAAGATAAATGAGATACTGTGACTGACCTCTTCATAGCCAACTAGTTTCTTGCAGAAAACAAAATATCGACATTTTTGTAACATTAACTCTTCTTGTCAAAGTCTAAGTTTTATTTTGTTATTTGTACAATATGCCAAGGACATTTGTACAGTAAAATGCTTGTGGTGAGGCTCAAGCCTATTTTCAGTTTTTGACATAATTTGAAAATGTCTGTTGCCCCACTGTGTGTAAATTTCAAAATGACTTACATTAAAAGTAAAATAGTTGTCATTTTGGAAATACAAGGTTTTGTTCTGACAGCAGTGATATATATATATATATATATATATATATATATATATAGAGAGAGAGAGAGAGAGAGAGAGAGAGAGAGAGAGCAAGAGAGAGAAGAAAACAATACATAGCTGCAGTCAAGAAATTTTATTAAGTTTATTTATCACTTATTTTTTTCTGCATCCTTTGAACATAAATGGGCTAATAGAAATGTTCTAAAAGTGGTTGGAATATTTTTACATTAACTTACTAAAAGTTAAGAACATTTTGCCTTCTGTAAAGTTGCTAACATTGAGATACCTTTTTTTGGAACACACAGATATACAGGAATGCATTATAAATGCAAAATATCTGGCTACTAAATAATAATATGTGCACTTTAGACCATAATGTAATATGAATAACCATGCATGTGTGCTGGGACAAATGTATAGGCCATTACTATTGTACTGCAAGGACAGAGAACTACAGCCAAATAGCAGCAGTTTAGAATATAATTATAGATATATAAATAAGTATACATATGTGCAGTGACAGTGTATCTAAAGCAACCATAAAGTGCAGAGTGAAAACCAAAAACTGAAAAAATGTCCATAAAGTCATGCTTGAATAGAATAGCAGCAATGACAGTAATGACTGTAAGCGTATTATACTGTTGGACTCTGTTAGTCCTTAACCATAACGATGAATGACATACTGACAGGTGTTTTGGGAATTAACTAGTGTTTGTTCAGTAACCTGAGCAGAGACCGTTCCTCCTGTTAACCTACCAAACAGCAACCTGGTAAACAGACTGTGCTCTGACTTGATTTGACATCGCCATTTACCTTTACGTTGCTCTTTAAACTTCTCAGTGTTTAGCTCAGGCTCGTCATTTGCTGTTCTCTGCACACAGAGCTTGACTCTAGAAACAGAAGTGGAGATACAATAGAACTAGGCCTACTCCCAAAATCAGATCCAAAATGAGGATTACCACCCAGAACCAGAGGTGAAGCTCAAATAAAATAAGTTAACATCTCTCCACTGGCACACACAGTTTAGTCCAAGACCAGGCTTACGTCCATCCAGAAAGCCAGTTTTTTTTCACACATCACTGATCTGAAGCTGTGTCCCAAACTGTGCCCTATTCCCTATACGGTGCACTATTTTGGGGTTCTGACATTTCATATTGGTGTGCAGAAAATCCAGCGCATTCAAACAGTCCCACAGTGCACTGCAAAAAGTAGTCTATAGCCAATGTACTCAAGCAGACAGGGCCACTGTGTTGTTTGCTTTGAAGACTCATGCGTAACTTCTCTGAGGAGGATTACTGAGCCCAGCTATAATGTCAGCGTCTCCACAGACCTCTCCACAGACCTCTTACAAATGTACTGTATGCTGTTCTCATGTGTGCAGTCACACTCAGCGGTCACATAGTATTGGTCAGGTGGCATGATGTTTATAGTGTTTATGTCAGGGGTGTCCAGTCTTAACCGCAAAGAGCCAGTGTGGCTGCAGGTTTTCACAAGCAGGAGCTCACCTGATTCCACTTCTTCAATCAACTGGCTTCAGTCAAACAACTGATCATGTGATCTCCTGCTTTGCTGGGATTAAAACCTGCAGCCACCCTGGCCCAGATAGTAAACATATATCGGTCTGCTGGCTTGACAAAGTCGGCACCCCGCTGACTGTTTGCCACTGCTGGTCCACCCTGGGACCACCCAGATTACTGTCCTGCATACAAGCTGCAACTAGTCTTTAATCTCCTTAAACAGATTTTAAATGCACACAGCTTTTTAGTTTAGAAAATAAACTAAGACAAATCAAAGAACTGAGAAAAAAAATATATAAAATAATTAAAATAAAATAATATAAAATAATTTTACTGAAAATGTTGTTGCTGACACTGTGCTGGATTGTAAGTATAACTAAAGAACGTAGGGAAGGGAAATATAAATATAAGTAAACTGGACTGAGTGGAAAATGAGCAATGATAAATGGAATTTTGTCTAATACTCTGCTTAAAGCACGGAAAACGCCAGTGGACCGCCAGCTTTGCCATCAGAGGGCCCAACAGTGGCCCACTATCCTCTTGCTATCAGCGTGGCCCTTAGTGAATACAATTGGACACCCCGGCATGAACACTAGGCTCATCATGCCACCAGTCCAATACTATATAACCACTGAGTGTGACTGCACATATGAGAAGAGCACACATTACATTCGTAACAGGTCTGAAGAGAGGTATGGAGACGCTGCCATTGTAGCTGGGCTCAGTAAGACGGGCACCCCTGGGTTATGTGATGGAATCTGCTGTCACACAGTAATGAGCATGAAACGAGTACGAAGTGTTTACTACCATCATCAACTCTGTTTCCTATAATAGTGTTCTAAACAGGGATCGAGATTTTCCAAAGTAGGGTACAGTGATTAGGGGACCATTTCAGACACGGCATGAGTTTTTCTGCTCTTGCTCTGGAAGTGCCCCACTGTGCCACATATAAACCGTGGTCAACTACTGCTCTCTAGTGGTGAATTGTAAGAATACACTGTGACAAGAAATATGACTACATTCATTTCCATTTTAGGCCTATTGCAACTGACTGATGAAGAGACCACTTGTTTTTAAGATTTTTTGCCTCTCTTTTGCCAGTCTGAAGATTTTTTTTTTCGTTTGTTTATCATTTCACAAATAATCAGTATGGTAGAAATTTACAAATATTCTTATTAATATTTACATGAGTATTGCTCTGTTTATACCATGCACAAATTAATGCATTTTTCTGATGTGGCATCGTACTATCATGACTTTAAAATCTTATTTTCTCAAGTATTTACATTAATTTAAACTTTTTTTTCCCCAATCAACAGTCTCCTGCATACGTCATATGGCCCACAGTATCAGGGCTACATCATAGATGTGAGCTGGCCTCCTCTATGGATGCTCACCTGTGAGTCAGAGCAACTGGCAACGCTAGACAAGTAAAACCGACCAATCAGCTCATCCGGGCGTTCCCTCTTCCAAGCAGGGTTGCCAGGTTGGTTGTAAACCCCTTTCTGTAATGATTTCCATGGAGGGATTTGTTTGTTATAGTAGTATTAGTTTGACATATGAATATTTAATGTGTTCAACATGACTACAAATTAGTCCGTTTTAACATATATACTCTATTGTTTTCATGCCATTCTAAGATGCTAAATGACATGACATTGTAGTCAGACAGTGACAATGAAGATCACTACTGAAAAAAACATGAAGTACTGCTATTTTAAAAAGAGTCTTAATGAAAACTGAAAATACTATAAGGAAAGATTATAACTGCATTAAAATCTATTTATTTTACTTATTTTATTTTATTGGCAGCCTTAGAAAATGGAGATGTCGTTGTTAAGTGTGGTGGGTACCAAAATGAAATATTCTGCATGTGTTTGAGTCAGTGTCAGTGCAGTAGAATGATATTGCACCAAGAACCAGACTGAACCCCTTCACTGAACTGAACTGAATTAGGCCTACTACCATATAAAACATTAAAGAACCTCAACATCACTGAATGTGTTTGGGATTACTCAGATCATGAGAAACAGAAAATACAACCAACTTCTAAGACTGAGCTTTGGAGATGTGAAAAAATATCCCTGCAGATATCTTTGAAAAACTGAAAGCAAGTCTGAAAAGAAATGGAGCTGTAATGAAGGTAGATAAATAATGAAAAAAAAATTATATTATTAAGATATACATACCATTATACATAACAGCTAAACATTACATTTAGTTGTAGAAGCACCTGTATATTGTTGTTGTTTTTTTTAAACTAAAGAACTGATCCCACTCCTTTGCATCCCATATGCATCTTTTTTTCAAGAAAAAATAATAGAATACTCCTAAAAGACACATGGAGTGCATTTCAATACATGACATGCTTTCTGTTACTGTAAATCGTCTAATAAAAAGACAGCAAAGTTACAGTTTCTACTGCATACAGTATCTCAAGGCTTGTAATTGGTTGGTGAGTTATTTTAGAAGATCTGGCAACCCTGCTCCCTCTCAGCGTTGTGCAGCCTGACGCGTTTCATTTCTTCGGTGTACACCGGCTCTGGCTGATTTCGTTTTCTCTCAAAACGCCAGATCGGCGTGTGATGTCTCTGTGATTGTGCGTGACTGGCCTTTGCAGTGAGGAAATCGTCCATCATGAGCTGCTCCGGGTTCACCTGCTCTAAAAACTGCCTGTGCGCCATCAACCTGCTGTATGTGGTGAGTGAATGAGCGCAGCTGCAGCCATATGGGAGCCTGGTGCTGCTCTTAGAGCTGCTATTTCAGCTCGAATTTGTAAGGTTTAGGGAGAAATGACTCGGTTGTGGTCAATGTTGGTAAATAATAGGCCTCGTAACAGCGAGCTGAGCTCATCTGAATTATTTAGGAAGGTGCATTGTGTGTGTGATGCTGAGCAGCTTTGGGTTGCAGCCTGTATCGTCCAGCACACCGCAGCTCATGGCGTTTCCTTTCACTCCTCCAGGCCGGCCAGACTCACGTCCTGTCTTTGTTCTAGCTTTCAGCGTGTGTGATAAGACTCCAGTCACTCATTCCGTTTCCTGCCTGTTCAGGGTGTAATTCTGCCTTTTCTGTGTGTACACAGTGCTGTGTTTTGTCAGTTTGAGTGTAGTGAAGTAAGGCCCACTGCTGACCTGGTTGTAAGCACTGGAGTGTTTTGTGATCAGATACCTGTTGGTTTCAAATGCAGAGAGTTCAGGTCAGCCCAACTGAACCGTCACATCACATCCAGTTGATGATGAGCCACTTGGCACATTTACTGTTATCATTGGCCAAGTAAAAAAATTATCATAAAAAAGGCTCGCTTGAGGGAAAAGTCATACAATCATATATCAAACAAAGCTGCCAAAGCTATAAGGGACACAAATATCTCTGCTGCTTATAAGCTTCGTTAGAATAATAACAGAATGTACTCTTTTTGGGAGAGAAAAGTTTTTGAAGTAAGAAATCCTATCAAAAAATGAACATATTAAATGTCCATGCACTACTTTTTAGAAGTACTGGTCATTTTATTCAAGTATACAGTGCAGATTGAAGTTCTCTGTGATAATCAGGGTATTTCAATGTATTTATTGCTTTAAGTTTAAAAAACAAAAAACAATACATATTAATATCTGTATATTAATAGCTGTAAACATAATTTCAGTATATCTAAATTATCTGCTACAAGATACACTACTCTTTAAATACAGGGTATTCTGGATTTTAATGTTATTATAATTTCATTCTCAATGTTTTATATAGTTTTTTTTAGTCATTTTAGAATTCAGACTCATCAACAGCATTGTTAATCATTTTGAACACATCTAACATTTCTTCATTTTTTACTGCTTTTTACAACAAAGTTGAAATTTGTGCAAATGTGTCAGTCAAAAGAGCCAGTGAGTACAAGTTATTCATTTTTCAGAGTCAGGAAAAAACACAGAAAAACATACGAAACATAAAAATTACTCAGACGCTTCAACAAATGTATATAATATATCGCTGCTGTCGGAACAAAACTTCTTATCTTCAAAATAATAACTTTACAGGAGAACATACTTTACTTTTAATGTAAGTCAATGGAACCAGACTTTTTTCCAGGTAATATTGGACCGTTTCTTTTGGTCCATTCATTGTCAAAAACTGAAAAACTGTTCCGACAGCAGCGATATATTCTTATAACATAATAGAATTATTTTTCAGTATTTAGTGCACCACTCTTATTATTACAGCTTCCAGTCTTTTTAGTAGGCTTGCTTTTAGTTTTTCAAAGAAATCTGCAGGGATATTTTTCCACATTCCACCCCTCCAAAGTTCAGTCTTAAAAGTTCGTTGTATTTTCTGTTTCTTATGATCCAAATAATGTCAAACACATTCAGTGATGTTGAGGTCTGGACTCTGGGGTGGTCAGTCCATTGTTCTCAGAACACCAGCAGCACCTTTGTTTGATTTTTGTGCAAATCTTCTTTTTTGTCTGTTAACTTTTCTCAGTGAGGTACTTCTTGACAGCTACACATTCTTTCAGACTCATATCACTGAGTTGTCCCTCACAGTGGAAGGATGGACAGAAACACCTGTGGATTTTTTCAGATCTGAAGCAAGCATGCATAATTTTCTCCTCTCTCTCAAAGATAAAAGCTTTAAGTGCTGTTTATGTGATGGGGATAGTTTTGGTGTCTACCAGGTGTTGCATGGTTGTTATATTGTTTTTTGAACTCCATGTTTTTCATGTATATTTTGACTTTCCCTTTCCTTATACAAGTGGATTGTCTTTATATATAATCTCATCAGAAATATCTCCTGACAAATGAATAACTCGTACTTGATGCCCAGAAAATTGATTTTAAAGAATATTCATTCCTTGTTGTCAGTAAAAGCACTGCTCAAGTAATCAAGTCTTGTATTTCCTTCTCCAAGGTTAAACATTATACTCTTATTTTGAATAGGTCAGATTACTGATTGTTGAGGTTAAGGTTAATTTAATCAGTGAAATAATTACCAGGAAACTGCCACCATGACATAATGACCCAAATACTGTTGTTGAAGCACTTTTATGTTAAAATTGACAGCAGTCGTTTGTTTTACTTTTCCCAAAGCAAGAGAGAAATACCATAAATCTTTTATTCTATGTTATTCTCTCTCATCACTCCTTCCTCCCTCTCCTCCTGCAGATGGTGAGCATGCTAATGATCGGTATTGCTGCCTGGGGGAAGTGGTTTGGCCTCGTCTCAAGCTTCCAGGTGGTGGGGGGCATCATCGGGGTTGGGGTCTTCCTCTTCTTCGTCGCTTTGGCTGGACTTATTGGTGCCATCAAACACCACCAAGTTCTTCTCTTCTTTGTATCCTCCACTGCAGTGATGTGTACCCACACATAGATATGACAAGGTGGTCTCATTAGGAGCGGTTTGTAAAGTGAGGGGGTTTGCGTACTTTCTCTCTGCTTAGTAATCAAACCTTGTTTTTTCACCATGTTTGAGCTGAAGAAGTCACCACAACTGTTTTGTATATTCAGGTTTTATTGTTTGTTTTAGGAGTCATGAGGTTTTTCCACACTTGTGCAATAGGATTGATTAGTGTACACTTTCAGTTAATAATGACAATGATAATCATAATAAGAAGAATACACTTAATTTGCATAAAACAAGTTTACTAAGTGCTTTAGAGGAAGATAAAAGCAGCTCAATTAAGATGCGACAAAATGCAAATAAAAAATGACAGAAAAAAGACAAAATTTGGTGAAATATGAAGAGAATACACAAAAAATAGCAGATAAATAAATGAATTGTGGTAATTTTTCACTGAAAAAGACAGATTCACTCTTGAAAGTCGCTGATCCCATTTTAAAACCTAATTTTAGTAAACCTTTTTTAAAGAATACTTTTTAAGAGTGCCAGTTGCTCTCAGGTGTTTAGGTAGAGAACCTGATGAAACAAACTTGAATGTTCATTGTTCTGTTTGAATGAATCAGCCTCACTCATCTGCCCCTTTATCTCTCCTTAATAATATCATTAGTACATGATTATCTTGTTCCTGGTCTTTGTGGTCCAGTTCTCAGTGTCCAGTGCATGCTTGGCCATCAACAAAGAGCAGCAGGTAAGACTGATCGCCATTCTAATCAGGTGACAACACACTCAGTAATGCAGAAATGTAAACCCAACATATTAAAGGCCTTAGTTATGGTGCATCAGCTTCATTGGCTCTTAAAGCATTAAGTTAATTAACTACAGGCCACTGTGGAATTTAATGGTGGTAAGTAAGTGCAGTCTGCTTTTCTCAGCAGTGGTTTCCTGGTAGCAGCATGGCTGCAGTAACCTGGACATGCTGAACAGTTTTACAGCACACTGTGTATTTTTAGAAACCCTTTAGACTGAATCACTGCTGTACATTTTATTTTTGTCAGCCAGTCTTTCACCTCTGTTCACACCGCTCTGTGCGAATGCACAAGCTTATGCTCCTTGGGATGAATTCTGTTGACAAAATAATTTACTGCTCAGAATGGCAGTCTCTGTTCATTATTGTGTGCTTGTGTGGTTCATATAAGTTGGTATAAGTTTGTTTAATTGGTTGAGCTACTAACGATTTCTTTTTTCTTTTAATAAATCATTGTTCTTGATGTGTCTGTGTAGAATCACCTGTTGGAGGTGGGCTGGAACAACTCCCAGAGCACTCAGAGGGACGTAGAGAAAAGCCTCAACTGCTGTGGATTCTCTCACGTGGACATGAACGGAACCTGTGCTGCTGTAATTCTCAAACACACCTGCCCATCCATTCAATGAATGACTGATTTTACTCAGTAACGTTGTATCTTTGCTCGTTATAAGTAACATAAATTGCAGTTTGGTCAGAGAATTATTAGCATCCCCAGTTAAAATGATCAAATATACTGGATAAAATTTACTTTTAGTTCTCTATTTCTCCAAGTTCCACGACTAACACCTTGATTAAAATTATAAATATTTTAAATACCTATTCAAATTGTATTAGTTTATCATGGGGGATGTCAGTAATAATATTTTTATGCATTTCCTCAGTGGTAAAACTCTCATATCCAGATGGCAATAAAAAACTAACTAGATATCTAGTGGGTTGTATTTTCTTTTAATATGGATATGTGTGCTATGAGACTAAATACGAGTAGCACCATCTAAAAAACTTTTCAACATGACGTTTGCCTGAAAAATTGTATTTGGGTGGGACTAAAATGATCAGACCCTCGCTGAATTCTGTGAAAAAGAATAAGTAATTCGGTCTGTAAATTTCTCAGGGTAGGAGGGAGAAAATAACCCAGGCATAAACCGATCCAGAGGGAAATATCGCAGAGTAGAGTAGCACCTGTAATTTTAATCCTGTTTGACTGGTTTTAGCACTGTTCCTTGGCACCCTCTTTGAAATACTTATGTGGAGGTATTTATTTTTAGGCACATACAGTCACATGCAAAAGTCTGAGTACCCCTTGTCAAATGACATTTATTTATTTATGTATTTATTTATTTATTTATTTATTTATTTTTATTGAAAATAAGGTAACACATCCTCTACAGAGAACACACTTAAATATAGCATCTTGCAAATGTGCAAAATAACTTGCGCAGGCTGCATTTGTTGCCCCCAACATGTTAAAATGTGTATAAGTCTGTTCTCAGGAGTGAATGTGTACAAGTATTTACATTTAGAAAATGTAACAACAAAACATATTATTTGACCAGGGGTGGCAAAACTTTTGCACCTGTAGCTGTTTTTATAGACACTACCAGATTTATGACACTATGAAACTTTAGTCTAATTTAATTTATGTAATATTTACCATCCTGATGGTTGGGCTCGGATAAGAAGGACAGACTTATGACTGGGATTTTTAAACAACAATACAAAAGTAAATAAAATAAAGTGATAATCACACAAACATAAAACAGCACATACAAATCGCAAACTAACGTGTTTGATCATATAAACAATAACTAAATTATTTTTTGAAACCACGTTTATTAGGGTCCGGTTTCCCAGGCAGGTATTAAGCCTCCTCCTGGACTCTATTTTCCTTTCAGTAGAGAATCTCAGAACATTGTGTAGTCCAGGACTAGAGTTCATCCCTGTCCGGGAAACCAATAGGAGTTCCTCCTCAGGAGATTATTAAGAAGTCCTTCTGTGATGCTGGTTGGATTCTCAGAATAAGCAATTTTCAGCATCTGTAATGAAAATATAACCATTTTATTTAAGATCCAAAATGGGCTATAAACCTATTTACAGTTTTAATATGTAATTTTGTCCCAGTGTATTATATGAAGTCGAATTCTGCAGTAATTCGTCATCAGTAAAATTCAGGAGTTGTGTGACTTTCTGCAAGCTGCCAATGAAGGTCAATGCATGCATGCTTTGAAGTGTATAAATGATGTAATTTAAATGTTAATAACATCACTGGCAGCATCTGTGATCTTGCATCTGGTCTTTGGCTCTGGACGTGTCTGTCCCATCATCTAACCCAGCATATGTTATAATTTCCTGTGTCTTGCTGTCTCTCCCTACAGGCCTGTTTTTCTCACACCAAATGTGACACCTGTGCAGCAAAGATCCAGGAGCATGCTGGGGAGGTGCTGCGCTTTGTGGGTGGAATCGGCCTGTTCTTCAGCTTCACTGAGGTAAGCCTCCTTCTTTAAACATACACGTCCCTCTCTTTTGCTCCCTTTCTTTCCTATTTGCTTTTTTGCTTGTTTCTTTTTCAGTACAATACATCATTTGTTAACTGTTATCATGATATTGGTCTTTGCAGTGCTGATATTGCAGAAGGTCACAATCTGCAAATGAGCCCTCAAACCAATCGCGTTGTCATACTCTGAGCATCTTGACCAATCACAGTGCCAAAAGAGTGTTTATGTGGCAGCTTTGATGAGTCATGTTTTTCATGCAATCCCACAAATTATAAAGCAGGCTGATCGTAAACCATGTCACGTTATTGATCACTGCTATATCGAACGTATTACATAACAAATCATAAATGTAATGTGTAGCAGTGTAATCCTAATACTGACATTGTCCATAATGCAGCACTATTGCATGGTTTACTAGACCTTTCCACACTGAATTTGTCATTCAGATGTTATGTTATGAGATGATATTTGGCATTTTAATACACCATCTGCATCTTTTAAAGATGAGATTCTCATCTACTCATCTGAAAGTGGCACATTCTGTCTTTGTGCATGAATGCCATCTGCTATCATTAAAACAGGCCAGCAACACTCAACATAAGAAGTAGGGGTGGACGATAAGGAGATATGATATTTATTGTTATTATAATAAATTATAAAAGAGTCAGTTTCGACCACACAGTCTAATAATTAAAATGGCTGTAGTATACTGCTGTATGGGCACAATGTTTTTTTTTGTTTTACTTAATAGAAGTAAAAATGCATAAGTCAATAAAGGAATTCGGACACTTTCTCATTACCAACCTTTGTCAGTCACCAGTCGCAGAAATCAACCAACAATTATCGCTTAATTAATGCTAATGCTGAAGTTGGATTCTGATCCATCCATGTAAGAAAAAAAAACTTGGTTTTGATAACTTTTTAAAATTATTATTATTATTATTATTATTATTATCATTATTATCATTATTATTATTATTATTCCATTTTCTCCCCAATTTAGTCGAATCCAATTCCACCCACTAGTTAGGACTCCCCCAATCACACAATACCACCAATGCTAGGAGGGTGAAGGCTAGCACAGGCTTCCTCCAAGACCTGTGAAGCACCACCACATCTTTTCGAACTGCCACTCACGCAACATCATTGGACAGCCGAACACACTCCGAGGACAATGCCAACCGCCAGATCTGTTACGTCAGTACTTTATTTAGAAAGAAATAGCCAGTTACAGGTAACATCATTTAAAAGGCCTGTCACTATCCCTGACTTCGAAGAAGACTGCCCGTTATGCTCAATTACAATTGTGAATGGTCTAAAAACAGCTGCCTAAAAACTTAAAGAATAAAATATAAGGCTTACAGATCAGTTTCTGAACTAAAATCAACTCTGGTCTGTTAAGGTGAGTTTGGGGTTCTCTCTTCTAGTGCACAGAGATCTTTACCCATCATTTTCACTTTAGCATTGTTGGCTGAGTTTACGGGCGCTTCCCGTGTTCGTGCTGCACTGCTTTCATTCACAATCAGAGTCGCACAGCCAGCTGTCGCAGGTTGCACAAGCGTATGCAAATTACATACAAGCACAGGCCCAGATAATACATGTTTTAGATATAGTGCGTAATTCATTTTCCTCTGTTAGAGACATACGAGTAACACAAGTAACAGAATTTTTATGGTCAGTAACTGTAGTGTTTTTGCAAGAAATGTGTTACACTAAAAACAAAAGTAACCATATAACTATAATACATTACTTTGGACTACATTACCCCAACAGTGATGTTATGTTTTTGCTATGTTGCACTACCCTTAATGAGCAGCTCTTGAAATAAATGTCCCCTACCTCTTCTCTCCCCTGTTTCAGATCCTGGGCGTGTGGTTAACATACAGGTACAGAAACCAAAAAGATCCACGAGCCAATCCCAGTGCCTTCCTGTAGTCAACGGCATGGCTGTCACAGTGACCGTCTGTGTACTTGTCTATTTGCTGGACTTCTTACTGGAGCTCTGTTAGAGACGAGAAGTGTGCGTTTGCTTTCTCTGAAGTGGAGATCACTGCTTGTTTCTGCTGCTGTGTGTACTGATCATTTTCTAGGGTGCAGTGTTGTGAAGCAAAAAAATCCTATGCGTAATTTTTGTTTGAAGATGTCTTGAATGGAGACTACAGCTACAGCAAACATCACAATGGAACTGACACTTTTTACCTTACACAGTAAACACTTCTTCAAACACCTATGGGCTATGATCAGTCTAAAACCAAGAATTTCAAAATGTGGAGAAAAACAGTCACTGTAAGAGAAAACGGACTACACTACGACTAGTATATACCTGCATGTTATTGTTTCTGTTCACATTGGTTGTTATTGTTGATGTGTGTTCAGACAGGATGAATACTGCGTTTTAAATTCCTGAATCCTGAAAGTAATATTCTTTATGATGCAGTATGTTGATACCACCACATGGACACAGTCCTCTTTGTGTACATGCACAAAATCAGTCACTCTGAGGCTACTGGTCAAGAATGCAATAAATTAATCATTGTGATTTTTGGTCAGTTAATGTGCATCTTATTTAAATGTCTGCATGACAAACTTTCCTCTGCGAATCTGGATATGCAAAAAGAAAAGGTCCTCATTGATTATCCTGAGAGGCAATTGAACCATGCAAGCAACATGAAAGCCCCATACATTGAACGATCTTTGACACATTTCACGTCACAGTTAGTCGTATTCAAAGTTTGAACAACCTGGTCAAACTGCACGTTTTGTTGGTTTTCTAAGTGGAAATAAGTCAAAAATATCCTGTACAGAGAACACACTTCTGCACATTTTAGTGAACAACTTATATGTATTTGCTTTAAAAAATAAAATGTTTCATTTTTTTCCCACTATTTTGGATTTGGCAAGTAAATAGTCAGGTGACACTTTATTTTGAGTGGTCCTTTTTAGATGAAACAAACACTCAACAGACTCTCAGTAATGTGTCAAAAACATATGAAGGTTGGGTTTAGGTTTTGGGTTGAGGTTAAGGTTAGGGTTAGGTTTTGGGTAAGACTAGGTTTTGTGTAATGGAAGAAACATATTAACGATACAAGATGTAATTTGACCAGGGACCTAACCCTTTGCATATGCTAGTATGCATTTCATTAAATCCATTTATTAAGCCTGTGACTGATAATTGTATGTGCTCAGATTATTATTTTTTTTGTGTGGTTTTGCCTTCTTGCATGAATTCTTCACTACAGTGTGCATCTCTATCATGTGGTTCTGTGAACTATGCACTCCTACATTTGAAAAGCAACAGAATAAAGAATGCATTATCACCCAGTCTCTGTGCAGTGTAAGTTGAGGGTTTCTATAAAGCTAGGTTTTCTTTTCTCATGCTAAGTGAGGGATTCTGTTGACGTTTCCTATAAAAAAAGCAATTCCGCTGGTCCGATAACCAATCAGAGGCTTACACGCACTGCTTTGTGAGCCGGGAACTCACTAAAGAACAAAAGCTGCTTTTGGCTGCATACTGGTAACCAGGCAACAGAGAGATCCAGGAAATGCACTGGCCATTTCCCTCTGGCCCCTCCTTATAGGATACAGGCCGGAGCTGAGTACCTTTCACCTTCAGCCTTCAGGCAGATCACTCAAGCGTACTGTACGTCCAGGAGGCGTACACTCATAACATAAAGGGGCCGAAAGAGTCCTTTGGAACAATGCCACAGAACAATCATGGTTTCTTAAGAAACGCTACAATGATTGGTTCAAATTAGGATTGTTCATAGTGGTGGTGATAGGAACCAGACGTCTAAGGCGTTTAATGCCTCTAAAGCTGCATCACAGAAAGCTATTACATAGCTTGTGAACAGGCTGCCTGATGTTGTGACAATGTTTTACAGTAGTTGTGCAACCAGATGTTGGCCTAAAATGTAACATGTAAGACGCTTTCAGGGCAGAGATGCACATGCAGCCTGTTGTAAGGCAAAATTTTTCCCAAGGAAACCATATTTTTCAGATTTAAAACTGTTTTACCATCATCAACATTACATATAAAAACTCAGAAGACGTGTAGGCTCACTGCTCATTTTGGATAGGAAATAAACTGGCTATATTTGCCTTATAGACATTGTGACCTCTGGTTCCTATCCCCACCACTGTAAAGAAGCACCAGAGATTACATTGTCGCTGTCCAAAGAAAAAGAAGTATCTCCGAAATTATAACTTTACAGGAGAAGTGATGAATGACCTTTACTTTCAATGTAAGTTATTGTAAAGAGAATTTATTCCAAGCAATTTTGAGGCATTTCAATTGGTCCAATCATTTCCACACGGTGTAAATGGCAGCAAGTAAAAAAAAAAAAAAATATGGATACATGTTTTTTCTCTGGACAATATGTTTCTCTACAGTAAACCATTACACATCTAACGACTCAATGTTTTTTTTTACATTTCATTCATTTAGTTATGCAAAAATTTTTAAATATTGGTGGAATTCTCGTTTAAAGGAATTATCACCTAAATAATCTCCTTTAAAAACAATAATCAGCTGAGAGTTGTGGAGTTACCGTTACCCAGGTTTGTTTAATGAATAATAAGCCTAGGCATAATGGGCACAAACTTCGAGTTGTCTGTGCTTCTTCTGTGTACCCTCCACACTACATCATGTTTTATTTTTATATGTTAAACAAAAATAAATAAAAAATAATTAGAAATTGTGCACTAAAATTTGCAGAATATTTAAGTGTGTTCCATGGGGAGGACATGTTAATTTATTTAAAAATAAACAAAACCTCGTTTTGCTCAAACGTTTGCATGTGCCTGTAGACTATACCTGATTCTTTACGAATGAGGACAGTGAAACAAGTGAGTTCAGCGCAGTTTCTTTAATTTATTCCAAAAGCAATGCATCACTGATGCCGTACATTAGATGTAAAGCTAGTCTTTAAAGGTCAACAGTAACAGGATCTCAAAAAGAATATGTCCAAAAGTGAGTTCAGAGATTTACAGTGCGTTTCTTTACATCAGTAAACAGAATAACAGACATAAACTGTCAGCGAAGAGAGCATCCAGTCTCGGCTCACGGCCCTGATGGAGTTTTTCACAACTCTGTTTTCAGGAACTTCTTGGCTCTCTGCATGTTGCTCAACACTGTTAGAGTGAAAATAAAAATGGCATTAATGCCTAGAAATAGTATTATAGAACAGTAACATACGGTATGAGAATCACTTCTATATTATATAGTATAAAGTATCTAATACTCATAAAAACAATTTGGATCCATTATCACTGAATTACAGCTGTAATAAAGTGAGTAGCCTTTTAATACTTACAGAGTTTTATGTCACTTGGCTCGTAGGCATACATGCGGTTGGCATAGCGGCCAGTGATATCGGCACGGACGGTCATGGAAGGATCTGTGGAAAAGCAGAGGGATGATTTTATTCAGTTTATCCGTTGAAGGAGAAATGGTTGCCTGTCACTGCTGAGCAAAACTGAAAAGCCCACATCTCTGAGAGAGATGCGGTACACTCACCAACAAAGATGATTCTGGGAACATACTGGCCATCTGGTGACAGGTGCTTGTCTGTGGTTTCGTACTGTAGAGAAATTACATTTTAACATAGATTCACAAGCAGTGTAACATGATTTATTGCATTCGTTAATAAATAAAGCAAAAAACTCACCACCAGGTTCAGGAGAATGAAGTCCTCATCAGCTAGCTGCTGGATTTCTTTATCCTCAGCAAAAGCCTTCTTCAGAGCTGAAAGGGCAGAACAAATATTTGCTTACTTAACGTTTGACAATGTCATCTATCTACTAGGCTATAACTCATATGGTGCTTGAATAAGCTCTTAAGCAATCCTATTTGAGCCCACTGTCAACTGATGCTGCCACAGTTCATAACATAATTGTCTCCTAGAAACACAGAAGAATAGAACAGAAATATCAATTCAATTCAGTTCACTAGAATTTTAATTATTCCAATATGGTAACTGGTAGCAGGCAGGCACATACATAATATAAAATAATACAAATAATAAAACCACATAAGAAAAGACCACCCGGAACATTATAATGCCATATAATCATATAATACAGAATCTATAAATGGGCTTTATAAAATTAGTAAAAATATATGTTAAAGAGGAGTATCAGACAAATATCCAGCCCAAAGAAACTTTGTTATGGAAACAGTCTGTTTTAACTCATTGTTTCTTCGATGTCATGAGAACTCATTTACATATATTTACCTATTCAGGTATAAGCAGTTTTTTTTCCCCCAGAGTGCAGTCTAATCACTTATCAGTCTTAAAGTCACAGTAACAAAAAACATTCTGTTTCATCCTTAGGGATAAAGAAAGGTTTGAAAATGATCATGTACAAATGAATTATGACCATTTTTGGTGCATAATGACACACAAATATTGTAAGTGGACATCTAGGGGAAAAAATAAAATACCAGAAAAATGTATCATACAGGCTCCATAAACCTGTTGTGTAAATGGGTCAGTGCTAGTTTATGAAAGAGGGTAAAATCACAGCGACAAACCACAGACACTGTAGAAGAGCATCATTATTCAGGGCTGATTTTGAGGCCTAGGGACCAGGCTGACCTATTAGGTGGAGTTAAAATCTTACCCTGGCTGTGTGGGCAGTCATCCAGGTGGAAAATCACCAAGAGAGGCTTGTTCCTGTGGAAATAGTTTTAGATATGAGGAAAGAATAAAGACTTTGTGTGGTTTCATTATACAAATGCATCCAGTAAATTGAATCAGCCAATCAATGCAACCACATACAACTGATAAAGCTGAAGCTGAATCAACGTAATGACTGATCACATGCATACTGTACTGGCAAAATGCACACGTTTCTCACTTTGAGCGTGACCAGAAGAGAGCCTCCTCATACGTTTGAGCCCAGATCAGCTGATCACCCCATCCTAAGAAGGAATTCGAAATGATTTCTTATAAGATACGAACATTCATGGTTTGTTGACGCACGACAAAACAGTAAAATATCCTCCGCTTTAATAGGAATCTAAGATTTCTTTAGGTTCAGCTCAAGCTTAAGTGTGCTGGGTGGTTACTCATGCTGTCAGTGTGGTCACATACAACTAAGCAATCAATGCTGTCATTAAAGCAACTAAGAAAGAAAGACAGCTCACCTCTGGAGAGAGTCTGAGGAATTCTCTTCTCCTTCTTCTCTGGCTTGTTGGTGGTGGGGGTCTTCTCTGGCTTCCCCAGGACAGAAGTCACAGCCACCAGGACCACGAGCACTGACAGTAATCCTTTAATCATCTTCTCAAGCTGCACAAATGAGATCAATCATCAGACCACTGTTAGAAAGTAGAGCACCGAAGGAATTTTAGAACAGCACAGATATCTATTACTGCGCTCTTGCAGCCCATGTGAATAAAATAAGCAAAGAGCGTGTCACTGAGCATGTGAGAAAGCAGGTGCATTATACAAAGGCAAGAAGGTAAAGCAGGCTTTGTGGATATGGCGTATTCCGATCTGTTCCTTGAAACCAGTGTGAGTTAATAAAGAGAGCATTTCAGCATGCAAGACAAAGCAACCATAGAAAACACAGGCAAAGAAGGTTAAAAAGCATTTGTAGATATTCTCACCCGCTCAGGTTTCTCTTCAGCCTGTGTTCAGCCTCAGTCTCCTAGTCCTGCTGTGGCGGTTACCTCTCACCTGTGCAGCATTTATACACCTGTGCACCTGAATGTCCCTCCCTCCTCTCTACCCTTCTGGAATGTGTGCTTCTGCACCTTTGTGTGCTCTAACTCTATGCTAGGAGCACCTTTATTTCTATTAACATTCTCTTTTAATCCGTACTTAATTTTGTTCTGAATTATCTGTAGAGTAACAGTGAACGTTAATGGTCTCCCGATGGCCTAGTATTCCAACTGTGAAAAGTACGAAATCTATCAATTTTAGTCAATTTTGGCTCTGGTCCAAGGACAGGTCAGCATTATGTCATGAATTTCATTCAGAGACTTTAATGATTAGGCCTTTTGTGATTGGCTCAGATCGTACCCATGATGTCAGTCCTGCATTAATGAGCTTTCATTGAATTTTGAAACCATGACGTGGTATTCTGAGTGAGAATATCTCCCATAATGTATATTCAGTCTAATGTATGCACTCCAGTTGATTTTTATGACAATCTATCTTAATATGTATTTAATCAATCTAAAAATGTATCTCAATTATTCGGTAATGGATATTATTCTTTGTTTATGTGAAAAGATAATATATTTAAAGATGCAAATCAGTTATCCTCTAGTAATGGAAATGGAAATAATATAATAGGAATAAATATAATTGATGTAAGTAGCTAATAATGTCACATTTTCAGGGGAATTTATAGTGTATCACTGTAGCTTGTGCCAGTCATTGTCTTAGAGTTTGGTGGGCTGGGGGGCCCAAGATGCTGTTTGATCACAGTCATAGCAAAGGGCCGAGTGCGGAAGGAAGCGGGTTTGTTGAAGTTGACAGACATATCTGGTCAGTGTTTCTGCAGATTTCCACAGAAACTGTGGTGGACATTCTCTCAGATCTTCATGTCTGATTCCATTTACTTTGCCTTGAAGGGAAATTTGAAAGAAATGTCTATAATTCAACCTATTAGGTGTCAATAAAGTCATTCAGAGTGCTTTGATGTGAAATGTTTCATTGCAGAAAAACTTACTGACTGATTTCTTTACAGTGGTGGTGACAGGAACCAGGGGCTGTGTTGTCTACAACACGAATATAGCCATTTTATTTACTATCTAGAATAATCCAAAATATGTTGATAATGGTAAAATTGTGGTAAATGTGAACAAGTTTACTTTGGGGACTGTTTTGCCTCACAATGCCTTTCTCGTACCTCTCTGCCATGAATGGACCTAAAAAAAAATACATTTTAGACCAAAACCTTTTCAAAACTACTGTAAAACAGTGTATCAGGCAGCATATTACTAACCATCTCATGTAACAGCTTTCTGTGAGGGAGCTTTTAGGGACATTAAACTTTAGATGTCTGGGTCATGTCACCACTACCGTGATCAATCCTGAATCTGATGATTTTCCTGGAACAGCTCACATACATCAACCACTCTGGATAATGCTGTTTATGTCTAAATGATTTAACTATACAGAAATTTAGAAGAATCAGTGGAATTTCCCTTCGATATATAATATATAATATAATTTGCATTGTTTCAAGATGCAATCCAGATCAGTTTTGCTTGTTGCAAGAAATAAGGCCTAGAACAAGCACAATTATTCAATGGAACAATTTCACTATATAAAATACTTAATATTCGTACAGCAGTCTTAAAGAGATATAGATATATATATATACACTACATTTAAGATCATTTCCCTTGCCAACATATCTGCAGAGTACAAGGAAACTTCAAGGAAAATAACTGTAACGACTCTCTCCCTCTCTCTCTGGTAAAACGCTGGGTGTGTTTTATGTACAGACCGTTTAATGTGTTCACGTCCATGGCAGCAGGCTGGAATGTGCTGCTGAAAGCCCATCCCATCACCCCCACGGAACAGGGCACTAAAAAGGAAGGAAGTTGACTGATTGTTAACGTGCTTTAGAAGGACTGACGTGTCCTTAAAACTGCTGATTTGACAATTTCACATGAAGTTCTTTTGTTTGTCCATTTTTCATGTTTGTTCCCTAGAAACTGTTTGATCAATAGATAAACATACAAAATCAATACACAATAACGACACACAACGTCTGAAGATTTTATTGCATCTAAATTGGTCCCTCACTGAAAGTTGTTACATCAGATGGTTATGAATATGCTGCTAAGACATTGTTTTACAATATTTTTAGATTAAAAAAACCTTCTTTTTTAATATACATTCATGGAGGAGAAGTACATGCAAAATAGTCCCCAAAGAAAATCAATTTCTTCAGATTTACCACTATTGTATCATTATCAACATTACATATAAAAACTCAGATGACTCTTCTAGGTTCACTGGCTGTTTTGGATAGTAAATAAAATGGCTATATTTGCGCTGTAGACATTGCAGACCCTGGTTCCTATCACCACCACTGTAAAGAAATCAGAGGCTTTAAGTTTCTCTACAATGCGCCATTTCATATCAAGACTTCCACTTTGTTTGCACCTGAATGAACGAATTATGTAGAAATTTTGGAAAATTGGTGGAGTTCTCCTTTAAAGAGACATTTTCTATGAGATGTTGAGTATGAAGAACCTTTTCCACATAATGTGTAAAAGTACTGGATTAAAAAGACTATGATAAAGAGAACTGCAGCAATCTTATAGAGAAGTACAGCAGGCTCCTATTTAATGTAATGCAAGCTATATTATAATAGATAAGAGCAAATGTGGCATCATTTGATTAAGTGATAAATTATAGGTTAAGAGCAGAGGCAGCCCATTTCAGTTCACGGTAAATGAGAGCCTTGCTGAGCACATCCTCAGCAACCCGCCTCTCTGAGTGCATAAAGCTGTGATTCAGGCCTGACAAAGACCCTGCCTTGCTGGAGCTCTGGGATAATGTGACTGCTGCAGATCAATGCTGTCTTTGTCCAGAGCTCAACCAACACCAGGCCTCCTCCACAAGCAAGCTGAATGAACAAACCTTCCCACCGCTGTGTCCCTCTGTCCTTCAGGAAAACGCCTGACTCTCTTGTTCATGTGTGGTGGAAGATGACAGCGTGGCTTCTTAAAGAAAAGGATGTCTGACTACAGCGAACATGCACTGTTTCAGTTCAACAAAGCACTGCGCACATCATGCGGCCGGAGCAATCAAGTGTAATCAGATGCATTCCTGGTAAAAGGGGTCTTTCTGCAGACATTAGAAAGGCAAAGCAATATGAGGTCATAGCAAAGACACGAATCAGGACATGGGCATGGATTAAACCAAGACATTTGTATGATGAACATCTATCTATCCATCAATCTATCTATCTATGTTTTTATGTTATCTATCTATCTATCTATCTATCTATCTATCTATCTATGTTTTTATGTTATCTATCTATCTATCCATCAATCTATCTATCTATGTTTTTATGTTACCTGTCTATCTATCTATCTATCTATCTATGTTTTTATGTGTCTATCTATCTGTTTTTGTGTCTGTTTTTATCTATCTGTTTTTGTGTCTATGTTTTTATGTGTCGATCTGTTTTTATCTATCTGTTTTTATCTGTTTTTATGTGTCTATCTGTTTTTATCTATGTTTCTATCTGTTTCTATCTATCTATCTATCTATCTATCTATCTATCTATCTATGTTTTGTGTCTGTTTTTATCTATGTTCTTATGTTTTTATCTGTTTTTATCTATCTATCTATCTATCTATCTATCTATCTGTTTTGTGTCTGTTTTTATCTATGTTCTTATGTTTTTATCTGTTTTATCTATCTATCTGTTTTTATGTGTCTATCTGTTTTTGTGTCTGTTTTTATGTGTCTATCTGTTTTTATCTATCTGTTTTTATGTGTCTATCTGTTTTTATCTATCTATCTATCTATCTATCTATCCTTCATTTATTACCACTGTCATTTTGACTGGAAATAAAGAGAGGAAAAGATATCTAGTTTTGCTTCAGACCCAAAAAAATGGTTTCTGTCCATCCTTCCGCTGTGAGAAGTCCAGACGAGACGACGCTAAAAGGATGTGTAGCTGTCAAAAAGCAAACATTGCAAATAAAAGAAGTTGTCGGTGTTCTCAGAATAATGAACTGACCACCCCAGAGTCCAGACCTCAACATCACTGAATGTGTTTGGGATTATTCGGATCATGAGAAACAGAAAATGCAACTAACTTCTAAGACTGAACTTTATCCCTGCAGATTCCTTTAAAAACTGAAAGGAAGTTTTCTGAAAAGAAAGGACGCTTCAGTAGAGGCAAAGGATGGACACACAAATACTGAAAGATTTTATATTACATTTATTATATATACACACATATTTAGGTTTAGGCTTCTGTATAATGTTCTGTTAAATGTGTCTTCTGCGTAATTCCCGACACTGAAAAATGAATAAATTGTGTTTAAGTGACCATTTAAAATTACAAAATAATTGAAAATTATCTGACTTTTGCAGAGTACTGTAACTGTACGTTTAGAAACGTGTTTGTGCACTACACTACGACCCACAGACACATATCTGACAAAAATTAAACCATAGTTAGATGTGTTGGCACTGGGATAGAGGACTGGTCTAAGAATCACTGAGACAGTAAAAAGAAACGTACAAAAAGAAAAACCAACCCTTTTCAGTCTACACTTAGGATTAATCTTGGTCTGGGAAACCAGCCTGTAGCGCATTGCCTACGTTTTATCCATCACTTCGCATGCTTGCTAAATTCCTCTTTTTGATTATGCATGTAACTGAAATGCAGTCGCACAGAGGCATCCCCCAGGACCCTTATTTATCAAATCTCAAAGAAAGGGCACTTTTTTAAGACGTTTCATATAATTGTATGCACATTTGCACATTTGTTTTCTTAACCCTCACTGCTATCCTGAGAACTTTGATAAATATGGGTCTAGATCTAGAAGGCAGTATCTAGAGGAACGAATGGGTGTGTGGACTTTACTATCGCCAGATTGCTGAGGTGTCCTTAAACTCTTTCTCTACCCGGGCTAACGCTCTGAACGTCATGTCAATATTTGTGTTCGAGGGCGGGGTGCTGAGGCCACTCCTGTTCACACACTGCTCCAGTCATCTTTGCTCAGTTCCGCCCTGAGAACACGGATGTGTGGACAGGAAGGCAAACGGCAAGATCTGATTGGGGGAACAAGACACAATTCAGCTAAATCTATTGGCCAACAAAGCCAACAGGTGCAGAGGTCTAACATAGATCTGCTATTTCTTGGAACAATGCAGTTTTTGGAGGTTAGAAAGCAAACAGCCATTGGGTGAGAGTGAACATCACTAACTAATTGGGGTTTATCAATGATTGCAACATTGATCGGGACATCTGACATCATAAAACTCCACAGAAATCAAAGAACTATGAAGAAACCGATCATATAATCATAAATGTTACAATAACAACTTCTTACAAGCATTCATTTTTATAACATTTATTAATACATGTACCCTTTACAGATATTTGTGTATGTTTATAAATGTGTGTTTATGCCCTGTACTCTGACTCATAGACACAAACCTTTCTAACACAAATTAACCTCATTCAGATAGAGGTTAAGAAAAATAAGAAAAAATAATCATTATCAGACGTCTATGAAAATAAAAACATAAGAAAAAATGAACCAAACAGAAAAAAAAGTAGTCCCACAAGAGACACAAAGGCCACTGTTTTCACAGAAAACACTTCGAATAATGTTGGCCCAGAGAGTGGTTCCAAGCCCAGGCAAGGCTCAGTCGAACACTGATGGACAAAGACACGACATAGCTGTGGCCCAAATGAGTCACAGCTGGACTTCAGTCGTGCTTCACAGCTGAGAATGTGACTGCATGGATATACATGCTCACATACACATACATACATATACGCTGAATGAAATGATAGCATGGAAACAAGTGTGGAAACAAAATTAAACATCCTGATTGTCACACTATTAGTAGCTATTTTTTAAATAATTTTGGTTCATGAGGCTCAGCCAAATTATTCAACAGTGTTTTAAAATCTTGTGGGGGAAAAAAACTGATGTGCTTCCCATAATTCTGCATCTGAGTTCAGTGAAATAATAAACACCTTGGTAATGACACTGGCAGGTACAGTGTAACCTACACAGTTCATCGCGTGCTCTTTGCACACACCTGTTTCATACAGCATGGGAAATTTCCTGCCAATACCACACACACAGGCAGGCAGGCAGGCAGCCTGAGTCTAGTTCATATCGGCCAGGCATGTGAGGATGCACCTGCCTGGCCAACTGGGTTTGAAATAAAAAAATGTGGAGGACTGTACACCACAAAACACAGTAAGGTGCTTCTCAAGTCAAGGGTAAAGAAAAATATATATATAAAAAGAAAGAAAAATATGAATCACACATCTTACAGTTGAGATCATATGGCAACATATGTCTGAGGTTCTGTAGTGCCAAACCAAATTCAAAATTCAAAAGAAAACAGTACCACTGGAACGAACAAAAACAAAATAAGCGAACATAGTGGTCACAGGAAGTGAACGGGGTGGGCACAATCTTCAGCAGTCTTAAGTCACTGTAGCATATGCGATCACAAAAATATATATTATCTACACGAGTGATCACGCCAACACCAAGTCTCTATTTACACAGGAGGATCCTGCGTGTGTCAGTGTAAATGTCCTCCACTGACACCACAGAGTTACCACAGGCTTGAGTGTTTCTCAGTTGAACACTTAGTTCTGTTGAACCAGTCTTAGCTTTACTTTCCATAAAGATAAGGTGAGTAAAATGGGTTCAGGGCTGGACTTGTAATGTGTCTTCATTGCAGATTAGGCAGCTGTAAACACTGAGGAGAAATAAATGGCCTAAATAAAGCATCCCTCCTTTTCTGTCCTCTTGTTCTAAATCAGGTGAGGCTCATTTTGAGTCTTACAGCCTTATTCGGAGATGGAGAGGCAGGTTCACAATAAGTGTACATGTATGAAGTCTTTCAGAGTTTTATGACTTTCAAATTAATGCCCATGTTGAGGGTGTAGCGGGGGACCGTTCACGCCTGGGTGGTAGAACGCACAGTTGTTTTCATATCTGCAGCTCCCCTTCATCATGAAATGGCGACACACAGGTCTTTTCGACATGTCTAAGGAAACAAAAGAGAGGGAAAACATAATTAAAAAGAACTCTTACATGAAATTACTACCATTTTAAGGACAGCAGAAAGGAACAAGAAAGAATTTGATTCTTGTGTTAGATTAACTTACCACCCATGTTATTGTGTCCCCCTCTGGGTCCCCCTCGGCCCCCACGTCCTCTGAAGCCCTGGTCTCCTCCTCTTCCTCGTCCCCGGTGGAAGTGGCCTCCTCGGTGTGGCCCTCCCCTCATGGAGTCATCGCCCCAGTAATTGCCATTGTCTCCTCCGCGGCCCTGTGGACCAGGTGGAGGGCCCATCATGCGAGGGCCACCTCCAGAGTTGAAAGGGGGTCCGTGGCCATGGGGAGGAGGTGGGTGGTTGTAGTGAGGTCCACCAGGGGGCTTGTTTGGGGGGTAACCCCCATTCACGGGCATCTGCATGTTCATGTTGTTCATATTCATGCCTGGACCATGGCCAAGCAAACCCGCGTTCACTGTAAGGTGGAAGGGGGTTGAGGGAAGTGCAAATTATTAGTTTTTCATAAAGGCAGTACTTCAAAACCGTTCATGTTCTAAATATTATTAACTGGTTCATTATGGCTGTTATTAATCAGATTTAAATACTTACTCTGTGGTGCATTGGCTGGTTGGTTTTGGTTCTGGTTCTGATTCTGGTTCTGCTGTAATGAGCCCAAGAGCTGCTTGATTTTGTCAGAGAAATCAGGCTGCTTTATCAAGTCCTCTGCTGACTGGTTAGAACCCTGCGCACCCTAAGAAACAAGCATATTACAGAAACAGCTCAGCCACTGAATCCCAAAGGAAAACAGTAAGTAAGTTAACGCAGGTCAGCTTTACTTACCATGATGGAGCTGAGAAGTTCCTGGACATTCACTGCTGGGTTGCTGGGAGGGGGTGCGTTGCCCTGTGTTTGGGGACTGCGACTACTGTTGCCAAGGCTACCCATTAGGTTAGCCAGCACAGGGGGAAGCTTGGATCCCTCCTGGGGAGCAGTGGTAGTGCACGCTGCAGCTGTACTGTCAGCAGGCTCCATGTAACTGTCATCCATCATAGTGCAATCCTGGGTCACCAAAGAAAAAGAGAGAGAGATAGAGAGATGTTAAATTCTACGTTTGCCATATACAACCACATAATCATATGCCATGTACAATTCCTTAAATTAATATGCATAGTTTAAAAAAATGAAAGCGGAAAGGAAGGCACATACGAAATGTTTCTAATACCAACAAAAAAATATGCTTGGCTGAAAATATAGGGCTTTTACAGAATGTGCTCTATCTTCATCTTATTAGAATAGCAAACAGCATGTAAGTGAACGAAGCAAGGAGTCATACCTCGTCAAGGGGAATGAGACGTGGTGGCATTGGCTCGTAAGGCTCTGGGTCTGGCTCGTGGGGGCTGTCTGGGACACTAAATAAAGCAGAAGGGAGAGCAACTTTACATTACACACGCAGAAAGAAGAAAATTAAAATTGATGAAAGTAGCTGCCTCAAAATAATAAGAAAACAAGCAAAAAAAAAAAAACACTGACCTCTCCTTGCTGAGGAAGATTTCCTGTAGAATGCCCATCTCTCTGTCTCTCTGGGTCAGTTTCTCACTGCTGTTGGCCCCTGGAATGACCAGGCTACCTGACAGTGTGAGAGGTCGCGGGGGTGTCCAGGGCACTCTCTCCTCCATGGTGTCATGTGAGAGACGACGTGCCATCTCAAACGTCTGCCTGTCCATCATCAGCTCCCGCTTAGCCGCCTCACCAAAGTCCTTAATCTTATTAACATTCACTAAGAAATAAAGAAAGAAAGACAGAACTAATTAATATCCATTAAAAAGATACACCATTTGAATGGATATGCACTGCTGTGAGAGAGTGGGTGCCATCCTTACCTCTTTCAGTCTCATCCAGGTCAAAGTAGAAGTATTCTTTGAGCTGCTCTTCTTCTGCCCAGCGAACACTCTTCTTTTTCTTTCCTTTCTTCGTCAGACTCTCTTCCTCTCCACGTGGCTCTGAAAGAGCATTGGGCTTATCACCTGGGAGAGGGAAAGAGAGACATATTTTTAATTTGTTAATTTGGGATTTAGAGAACTGTGAGGTGGATCAGAGGCCGGCTGATAAAAAGAATAAGAAGATAAATCATACCAGTAGTGCTCTTTCACATTCTTCAAAAAAAGTCTAGTACAAATACAGTTAAATATAAATTATTGTAACACGCCTACATCCACATGGTTTGACTGCAGTACAGTAAAAACTCACCAGTATCCATAGCCTCTGGTTCTTCCGTGGGGACAGGCGTCCCTGGCTGTTCCATGTCTTGGGGCTCATGGGGAGGAGTCTGTGATGCAGGAGCCTCAGGGGAAGAAGGCTTTGCCTGTGCGCCGGTGTATGTCTGGGGCTTGCTGTCAAATGGACATGGCTGTGGCAAATCAAGAAAAGACAGAGAAAGAACAAAAGGAGGAGATTAGGGTAGGAGGTAGAGATATTTCTGTGATTTTGGTAGAGAAAATAGCCATGAACGTCCAAACTACAGCCTGTCAGAATTACTGAGAATTAATCTTAATATATAAATACAACTGGCCTGCTACTGTGGTTAGATGAAAAAAAAGAAAAAAGATTTTATTTTCCAACATTAGATGGCACCAACATTCACTTCTAAAATGTCATTCACTTCTAATATATCCTGTATATCCTAGAAATAGCTAAAAAAAAAAAGAAAGACCTAATAAAAGACATCACATTATACCTTATTTGATGTAGGAGATGCTGCTTTAGGCTTCTTCTTCTTGATTTTAATTCCAGGCACTGGAGCAGAATTAAGGGCATCCAGAAAGCCAGGGCTCTCCATTGCTAAACATACAGAGACAGACACAATGTTTATAGCACTGGCTGTAAAGTAGAATACAGACTGCCAAGACACACAGATGACCAAGCAATTAAAATTCTATTTTGTGTGATAAATATTTTAGTGCAAGTTTTATTACATAGAAAAACTGGCATTAAAGTTTGCTTACGCTGTGGAGGTATGAGCTTGACTTTAATCTCTTTGGCAGAGTTGGGAGTGGTGTTAAGAGGCTTGTACTTCTTTTCCACAGGGGGAGCATCAGACAGGGAGGAACTGAAGAGAATACAAGAAGCAAGAACTTACAAGTCAACAAAAAAACCAGCAGAGGGCAGCAAATATAATACTTAAAGGATACTTAAAGGAAGAGGTGTCAATGAAGGCAAAATACTATTTAATCAATGGGGGAAAATCAGAAAAGGGGAAATGTATAATTACCTAGGCCTTTTGAGAACTGCTGGTTTGATGTTATATTTATCACCAAGTTGAGGGACAGCAGGTGGCTTTTTAGGAGGGATTGGTGTTGGGGTCTCCACCTCTAAACCTGTTGAATCAAACCAAAGTGTAAGTGCCTACTAAAGATGTTTATGAAATTCAGCTATGTCTAAAAACTACAAATCTAAAACACTCAAAACATTATTAATCCTACAGGCAATAAAAGAAAGTATTACGCTATAAATAAAAAAAAAATCCTGTTCAACATATAACATGCAGTAAAGTATGTATCCTGATATCAGAAAGAGGGGAGCCAGACCTGTGGAGCGAATCTTGGCATGGCTGGGAGCATGAGCTTTTGGTTTTTCTCTCTTCTTCTCCTCATCTGACCCTTTCTCCCCAGCCTTCACCTCAGGACGCACTTTACTGTCTTCTTTCTTCCGTTTCTTGTCTAAAATACAAATACCAGGATTGTGGCAACTAATTAAAGACAAACCACAAGAACATGCATTCACATTTTATTCATGTTAATGTGGCGTTTAGCCTGAACCCCACTACAGGAGAGTGATGAAATCACTACAAAAATGAAAACAGAAATGGAGAAAGAGAATAACTACCGTTTGGTGAAACGCCACTGGAAACGCTCTGAGAACGGATAATGGCCATCCAACCGTCCACAAGTACTGAAGCAAGCTTCCGTAACTCTGTGGGAAAGAAACCCAATAATAAACACAAAATCAAAGAAATGCACAAGAAAAAAAAGTGTCTGTCAACACAATTAAGTTCTTTTGATTACTCAAGTACATAGAGACTATGCATCACTTTTGGTAGTTCCACTCAACACCTGCTCTTACCTTCTGTCTCTCCACTCTTGCTTAGATGCTTAACCAACTTTGCTGTGTTGTTCTAGGAAGCAAACAAGTGCAAAAGATAAATAAATGAACAAACGGAAGCAACAATACACCTTAAAAACACTTCTAAAATGTATGGGAGCCAAGATATACCTGTTTAAGATGGTCCACAGTAAGGGGCAGTTTCTGCAGTGTAAGCAAAATAAGCTGCAGCAGAGGGGTGTTACTGGTGGTCTTTGAGTATGTGAGCCAAGAGTTCAGCAGCTTGTAGCCACCCACACGGATAAATCTGTAGAGTGGAAAAAAAATTGGTTTGGCACAAAACTTAAAAGGGCAACATTAACATTTACAGTGAGAGAGTCGCACAGAGGAGTTGCCCTGCTGTGCTGAACATGTATACATACCGGTTAAGAATGTCGTGAGACTTGGTCTGCAGTAAGATGTTCAGATACATGCACCTGCTGACCATTTTATGTGAGGCCTTCATTAGACTGTTTGAAAAAGAGTCAGAAACATGGGATTAAGATCACTTCAGCCGGATGACGTTAATAAGTCAACGTTATTCATGTAAATAACTGCAGCTCAATGCGGACATGTTTTCATATTTTTCACCTGAAGACTTTGGCAACACCCTCTAGGCTCCTGAGTTCTCCGTCCTTCCCAAGCAGAGCCTCCACTCCTTTCAGCACCTCCCTGGGGTCCACTGGGCCTACCGCCATTATAGGCTACTGACACAGAGGAGGGGGAGAGAGAATAAGTGCCATTTAGATTATCTTTCTGCAGGTACACAAATGCTGCTGTAATCATGACTGTCACTAGGGAGTATCCGAACTGTCATTATCACTGAAGATAAGCTGTTTGACATATTGGTCAAAGTAGTTATTGAGAGCTCATTGGAACAAACAAAGCACACACAGGTGGCTGAAATAACAAATTCCCATGCAAAAGTCACGAGGATAACATTATAAGTAGGCCGCAAAAACAAAATATCAGAGAAACGTGGTCGGTCAGGAAATACCAGACAAATGCCAAACTCTCTGATCTGATCACAACACAAATGAATGCGCCTTCAGTGCAGCTCATGTAGATAAAGAAAAGGCTTTTTTGTAAAGCTCTGCCCCAAATGTCTATCACATCAGTAGACTTCATGAAAAAGTTAGACATGATTCTTCATACACAGCATTGCAACCAAAACCACAACAAAGAAGCACTCATAAGGCCAGTGGGTCATGTGGCATAAATTGACCACAACACTTTCCGCAATAATATTCATAATCTCTACTGGTCTTGTTCTGAAACAGGAGTACTAGATGTCATTTTTAATGAAGCATGTAAGTAAAGTTTCACTAACAGAGTCCGTGTAGACAATTCATGGACTGCCAAAAATGGAATGAAGTAATCTTTAACATGAGTGATAAGAAAGAGGTTCATAAAATAAGTTAAAACATAATAAATGGAAAGAGATTCATAAAATAAGTTAAAGCATAATGAACCTACTGACTATATGCTGTAACACATGCTTACAGTTTTCCTAAAACAGACCTTCTCTGGCACAAGGTATTTGCCTATACAAACTATATTAGCATGTTACATTTAATTTACTGGAAGCTGTGCATTAAAGGCAAGTAGACTGCAGAATGAATGATTTTTGAGTCATTATTAATGTACATGGTTTATAAAAGGCTTATTATTTTATCTTAACATCTTGAATGGGACAAAATCAAAGTTTGAATGTACATTGTTACCACCTTCTGCCAACACAACACCCACCTGCTCTCCAAATTAAGGATGTGTTTATGTATATATGCAATTAGACTACATGCATTATTTCTTACATTGTCAATTTGAACATGAATACAATCATTAAAAATGTCTATGACACTGATAAAAGTTTAATAGTGAGTCATTCTAGTGACCTTTGACTTCTATATAGTTACAGTTATTCAGAAGCATAGTGCTAAAAAAGAAAAAGTACTAGAGGAGAATGTATGTAAAGCTACACAATACTGTGTTTATTATTATTATTAAACTCAATTATTTTACCATTATACTGTGATGTTCTATGTTATACAGACATTTCATCTTTAAAATAACTATAAATAACCTTCAAGAGAATTTTGATGAAAAATATTGACTTCTAATCTAATCTCACAAACTACAACAGCAAACAAACATGTACAAACACTTTTTTTCTTTTAAAGAAAGATACAAAAAGAAAAATAATGTGCAGTCAGTCCATCCCAGATCAGACACTTCACATCTGGGCAGCAGGTTGTAACTGTTTCAGAAACACTTACAACCATAACTCTCACCTGATGACTGTGGGCAGGACCTGCGTTATTACTTTCCTAAGATTGGAACTTACTCAGGTACACAGAGTATGATTACTCAATTATGAATACTGATTTATTCACATTAACATTAATTATGAATATGTATGTGAGAAAGTAAACATTACATTACATATTTGACAAATGTACATGCTCTTGCTTTATTTATCAAGGTCATTAGGAAATAACTGTCCTATGTCGCCATCATGTGGTTAAAACTGAATAAATCAAGTCAGGTGTTGGGTGCTGTTTACCTAAAGGCCATGAGTTTCATCACAAGAGCTTCTAATACATCAGAACTCAATAGACAGAGTTACAAAACTAATGAAAAAGCATAACGTAAAATATTAGACATACTCATTTGTTGCGATTAAAATGAAAGGAATAGTCAGCAAAAAATTAAATAGACACCTCTTACTGCTAATGTAGTGGATCTGCCAAGATATGTTTGTTTTGTTTTGCATCCAAGCTATAAGACCAATCCAGGTAGACTAAGTATTGTGTCTAGTAATGGATTGTCTGTTGGGTTGGGTGACACAGACTCCTATTACTTGTACTACTTCTATTACTGAAAAAGCAAACTTTGGACACCAAATATGTCTTGGCTGATCATCTACATTTGGAGTAAAAAAAGACAAAAATGGTGTAAATTATTATTTTTGCAGAACCAGTCCTTTATGCTAAATGGACACAAAACCTAATTGAGCCAGTGATCCCAGTGGGCTGAGTCCAATTAACAACTCTCCAACACACCCAGCCTCTTATGAAATCATGCTTTTTGAGGAAGCAGCCTAATGAATAAGCGAATAGATGGTCGGGTAGGGGGATTTGGAGAGGCGCGACGTCATTTTGCCCCGCCCATGCAGGGGCAGTAGTGCACTTTAAAAATCTCCTTTCAGCTGTTCGGTATGAGCATAACGAAGATCCTTGAACTCCACATTGGGTCAACTTTTAGCTCTACGGATCACCGAAAAAACGGGTACGAGCAACATTACACTTTAAATAAAAAAAATAAAACCAAAAAACTAAAAGAACTTAAAACTTGCTTCGCGTTTCCATACATACTGGGGTTAAGCATGCAACTTTCACCAGTGGATTAACGTTAATCTGTGCTGGTAAATCATGACGTTTGCTTATTTTTCGAAGGCGGTGAGAAGACTGTACGCTTAAAGGAAGGGAAAAGAAACCGTATAAACTAGTAATTCGTAATTCGATAAATGTCATGTGAGGAAATCAGGTTTTGTCTTACCCGTAAAAGTGTTGTGGTTGAAGTTTTTATAGTCTCAGAACTCAGAATCGACTTCCTTTACACGGAACATTACACAAAACTCCTGAAAATGTCACAACCGTTACACAAAACGTAAACACAGCAAAACAAGTGGCAGTTAAATCTGGGAAACCAAAGTGTTCACACTGAACGCAACTGTAGTAATGATCACACAGTCCAACCATTTACCACAATATTGTTTTCATTAAGAACTGTTAAATTAACCAAAAAAAAATAATAATAATAATAATAAAAGAATAAATGATTATTTGACCTGCCCCTCAAAACTGAAAGTGCCCCCCCCTCCCCCAAATCCTCTTTCCAGACATCACTGTTTCTTTTTGGATATGGTAGAAAAAAAATGAGTTACCCTGTCTTCTGCGTACTACTCTCTACTACTGTATACAATTATGAAATAATGAAATACTAACAATTTTACACAAAAAAACAGTTTTCCACACTGATCACAATGTTTTGTATGAAATGCAACATAAAACGGAGCTGCTGCTGCTGCTTTAGTGACCGTTGCTGCTTTCGCCATCTGTCGGCCACCCGCGTTCGAATGTTTGCAAGACAAGTGGCTTCGACAGGCCGTGATTGGCTGAGCGGGATCCAAGCCCCGCCCTCTTTTTTAACCACTTCTCTTCAAGCTCGAAAACGGGAATGGCGACGATGATGAAGAAGAAGCCCGGGCGCCATCTTAGAAAACAAGTACTAGCAAAAGAAAAAAAAATACTAAGTACGCTTTACGTCCGACATTCGTTTACACACGCGAAAAATACCAAACAAAATAAACATTATCTCAGGTTATGGTTATGACAACGCGAGACAAACGAGCGGAACAAATACGTTTCAAAAACACAGCCACCATTTGCTTGCAGTGATCCCAGCAAACGACAACCCGTCCGCCATATTAGAGCAAAACCGACTAGACAAACAAGTCTCTTCTACTCGGCATTTCACAGCTAACATTTCACCGCAAGCTAGCCGTAATACACACAAACGCAATCTTTATATCCAGACTGCCATATATATTATATATATTTGATGGGATGGTTTATTTCACTCGCTAGCTACTAAGAATCGCCTGTAACAAACGAGATACAAAGAAACACAAGTTGCATTTCAGCCCCCCGTAACTTATTTCCCCCACTCGATTAAGTCCACAGTCGCCAACTTTGCAATCTTTATGTGTAGATTGCGCAGAGATGTTCCAATGAGCTCTCCTTTCAAGATTTTAAGCCAAAATTCATTCATCCTGACTGTGCTGTGGCAATCTTTATGTACAGATTGCTTATGAGAAGCGGTCGCTAACCTATCTTATGCTTGATTTATCCTTCATTACTAGGACTGTAAATCCGTCTCACACACAAAGAGAAACAGGGCTTTCCGCCGCTGCTAACTTTGCGGTGTGAGCTCATACGCTAACTGGCTTGCCTTTCTCGCTTTATCTCAGCTTAATTTTGCCATTTTATCTAATAATTGCCGCCTTTAACGGCCAACTGAATAATTTTACCTATTAATTATCATTTTCAATACAGACAATTGATTAGCTATTAAATTTCGATTCAAATTGGTTTGAAAGTAACACTTACTATTTATAACTCTCCTCTGCGTCTCGGGTACCTATAATATATTGTGCTTAAACAGCAACAATTTTCAGACCAGTTTAAGACAGCCTAAACTGTCATGTCTTTATATCTTTATGGCTGAAAAATGGCTTAATGGGCGGGATTGTGGTGGCTAGAATCTAGCATTTCCTTCTTGCACAATCTGGAGCAGAAAAAACGTAGGAAGCAAATGTCCGTTACTCGAGTAGAAAAAACATGTTTTTGGGGTTTTGGTCTTCAAACACAGTTGAAAAATCCTCGACGTCAGATCTTCACTGAGACCGTTTCAGACCTGCAACAAAGGAAAGGGACAAAATCCGATTAGAAAAAATATAGAAAATAAAGTAACCAAAATAAATTATGCGAAAATACACCAAAATGCTTCACATTCGCCAGGATTGAAGTCCAAAGTGAATAAATGGGGGGTAAAGTTTATAAAACAACAACAATCAACGTTTTAATTCTTTTTTTCTTCCTTTTTTTCTTTTCTGAAAAACACCTCCGTCCTCACACTTACCTCAGACAAATCCAGGAATGATCTAGAAGGGTGGGACACAGTATTTATAGTCGTGACGAGTTTTGCGTCACACGGCTTCTCTAGAACGCGCATTCGGGCGCGTTCGTGACACACAAAGCGTAGCTGATGGTGACGGTAATTCAGTTCAGTTTAGCGAACCGATTCCTTCGAACGTTCTGTTTCATGAATCAAATATCCGATTGAACGATTAATTTTCTGTCTGATCACAGTGTAATGAGGTCGGCTTTATTCACGAAGCTCACAGTTCGCCATTGATCGACGTTACTTTGATTTTCTTCTTGCTATTATGTGAATTTGAAGACGGAATAAGCTCGATTCGGTTAGAATGTGAATCGGCTCAACTGGCTCATTGAATAGAATCGATTCGCAAGAACTGTTTCGCTCGAGAAAAACAACCTTTCTCTCTTCAAGGACAGCCCCTCCCCCACCATGTATGAACAAGCACGTTGTTTTTCTGAGTCAGTGTAAAAAACGTGCTACGTTTTACATAAATTGTAATGTAACAGTATCAGGTTTGAACCATATTAAACCATAGCAATCTAATTCAAGGTTTTTGACTGCATATATGTATTATTCTGAGCAGAGCTGGTTACAGCTACTAAAATAGTCACAATTAAATATTTATAATAAGACCTGAAAAGGTTTGACATCGCAATAATTAGAGTAAAATCACTCTGGTAAACTTGCTTCGTCTGCAGTCAACTTTGACCTCTCACAACAAAATGGCAGCCTCCTTGGGACGCATTGCGAGAGCTCCTTGTCGAGTTTTTCTCGTTCTGCAGAGAGTTAATCACATCCAGGTTTGTGTCAATTATTAAGACCTTTATGTAGCGATTTTAGTTGTCTAAATTGCTCTAACATCTCTGAAAAAATGCTCTGTTAGTCATGTTTTGCGACGAAGCTGAAGTCTGCTTCCTATTCGCCAGCTTGTTGTTTGAATTTTCCCGTTCCACCTTAAATGGAGCTGCAGTTACATTCTGGTGCCTCAGGCGCTACAATGTAGCTGCAGCACCATTTAAGGTTGAACGGGAAAATTAGAACAGGAAGGTAGTTAGTAGGATGTTAAGTTTAGCATCGTTGAGTTTTTCTAGCTCTGATTCTGCTTAATAAAAAGCTTTAATTTCAGAAAACTCATGAAGTGCTGAGGGTCCCGTTTGTTGCTCCGTTCCTACGACACTTCTTTTATTCGCCTAAACTGTCATCTTCTGATGGAGTTGAATCTTTAGAGGCTCTCTCCCGGTACAAAGACAAACCATGGGAGTATCTGGAGAGCGAAGGTAACTTCGGTGATGGTTTTAATCGAATATATTAATGAAACTTTGACTGCTTTAAAGGGGGGCTCCACCGATTTGTAGAATTGGCTGCACTTTTATATGGTTAAGATGTAATCAGAATCGTTCAGAGTGGTTTGGTGTGAAATGTTTTATGTTAGAGAAACTCAAGGAGTCAGAATTGCTCACAGTGGTGATAATAGGAACCAGAGTTTAATGCCTCGAAAAGCTTCCTCACAGAAATGGTTATGAATACATTGCCTGATGTCTGAGACACTGTTTACAGTAGATTGTGATGAGGTTTTCGTCTAAAACATATTTTAATCAGTTTATTTTAATCCGTTCATGTGGAGGGATACAAGAAGGGTGTTCTAAGGCCAAATAGTCCCCAGAGATTTTTTTCATGTTTTAATAATATTTTACCATCATCAGCATTACATATTAAAAACCCAGCTGGCATGTGTAGGTTCGCTGGTGGTTAGAGATAGTAAATAATTTGGCTATGTTTGTGTCGTAGACATTGGGACCCCTAATTCCTATCACCACCACTGTAAAGAAATCTGAGTTTGCAAGTTTCTCTACAATGAACCACTTCACATCAAAACGCTGAATGACTCCGTTTACATCTCAAGGACTAAATTATTGGGAAATTTTGAAAAAAAAACGGTGGAATTCCCCTTTAACTACCTTTTTTTTCTTTCGCAGAGTATATTGAGCGCTATGGATCCAAGCCTGTGTGGTCTGACTACAGACGGAACCACAAAGGGGGTATCCCTCCTCAAAAGACAAGGAAGACCTGTATTGTACGTGACTGGTTTTCTAATGATTATCTCATGTATGTAACTCTGATCTGAAGTGTGCATACAGGCATTTAACTTTCATCATATGTTTTAATTGATCACCACAACAGAGAGGAGATAAGATATGTGGGAACCCTTGTCCAATCTGCCGTGATCCAAATATCATCGTCCATTATCAGGTTTGTGCACACTTTCTCATTGTCCTTTAGTTTGGTTTGCCTTCTTGAAATTCTGCATGTGCTCTGCAAGTTATATGTCTCATATTAACCTCTGCAGAATGTGAACCTGCTGCAGCAGTTTGTAAGTCCTTACACCGGGATTGTGTATGATCCCACTCGGACAGGTAATCTCTCTCACTTTTTTGAGTGCACTAGAGAAGTGTTGCTCAACTTTGCTCCAAACTTTCTTGGTGAATTACCACAATTTTTTTCCCCATTATCATATTTGCTGTTTCGTTGACTCTAGGTGTATGCATGAAGCAACAGAAACTGCTTAACAAGGCAATTGAAACAGCGAGAGATCATGGTAAGAAAACCTATCATTTGCTTTGTTTGTACTTACACACGGTAAGCAAGTTGACAACAGCACGTTTATCATATCGACTACAGAGAATTTCTATCTTTCAGGCTTGATATCCTCCCAGTTACCATTTGTAGACTACTCTGCAGAGGACTACTCAAACGTGCATGGAGCAGTGGGACACACACCTGCCCCACCTACCTATACCTCTGGTGAACCTTGGTATTCATGGTATGGTAACGTAGAGCCAAATGAAAAAGAACTGGCCAGAGTAAAGAAGATCTACAAAGCTTACCTGAAGTAAGCTACTGGAGAGGTTTTCTGGGCACAGATTAAGTCTGGCTATGGACCCAATTACTCTATGAATGACTATTGTGTCACTGGATATCTTGAATAATAAAGGACTAAGGTTAATGTGCTGAAAACTGACCTGTGTGAGTCTATTGCAGAGTAATCATAATCAAGCATCGATTTGAAGTTGAAAGGAGTGCAGATGTAACAGCAAAGATAACCATAACTTTATTTATTCATTACACTGTTAATTAAAGTGAGACAAAAGCATGTTATCACCCAGGTCCCTGAAACAATACCCTGAAATCCCAGTGATAAACTGGAAGAGCACCAGAATAATCAGATTTATATTTAGGCCTCAAGTAAAGCACTGGATGTGCAGAACGAATATCAGAACAGCCATTTTTAAACATGGCGTTTTAAAGAGGACTGAACTAGTTGACTTTGTATCTTCCGAAATAAAGAAACAACAAAGCGCTTACTGCAAAATTCATTTATTTCCTTTTTTCCATATCAGCATTCAGATGCATATTTAATATCCCATTGATGTTAGTTGCATTTTGTTGGCGCTAAATTGTATTTCTACGTACAAGCTTCACCAATACATCTGTACTGCAGGGTATTCCACAGTTTTGAAAAACACAATGGACTGGTTTCTCAGACATGGACTAAGCCTAGTCTTTGATTTAACTGCATTACCAATGGTGGTTTCACCACTGAAATTTCATTTTAGGCTAGGCTTAATCTAGTTCTGGAAAACAGCCCCAATAGTCAGTGGATTGAGGATGTAACAGGGCTGAATTACCCAAAAGCTGAAAATGACCAAAAACCACAATTTTAATGAGCATTTAACATGTCACTTTCTATTGAAGTGTTCAAGCTAAATAGTGCTTTTTTGTGGAATCAATGGTTATAAGACACTGTGACACAGTGTAGCTGAATTCAGCTTGTACACCACTAACTCACTCTCATACAACTGATCTTGAAGTTTTGTTAAAAAGAAAAAAAAATCTGGTGCACCAGAACAAGTTCTGTGGCATTGCATCACATTGCAATAGCACTGGGCTGGTAATAATAGCGCTTGCATTGTTGATTTCAAGGACGTCAGACACAAAGGCTGAAGGACTGGTGTTCTTAGAAGTAAAAAGAATAGCTTTTCTTTAAGTTGGCAAAACTTTATATATGCTGTTTTACATGTATATAAAAAAGCATACTCTCAAATCCTTCAGTAATGAAGTTTGACATTCCTGGAGCCTTATTCTAAGTTCAGTCTTTAGACTTGATAGCCAGCGTTTCTCCAAGGGCCTCCAGCACTTCTCTCTTGTAGTCTTCAAAGTCCCCATCAATCTGGTTTACCGTCTGGTCCTCCACCACCCACAGCTGACACTGTGTCTCAGTGATCAGTCTGGCATCATGGCTCACAATAATCACAGCTATGCCAAAAAAAAGGAAGAAAATAATGACCATGAAGTGTTGTACCTTTCAGCCCCAAACACACTATTATATTTAGTGCAATGTTGGTACGCTGTGTGGTACACTTGTGTGCTTGTTTAGATTGTCAACTCCTAAGCATTATTTTTCTCCAAAGGTTTTGTGGAGATTGTTGTATGCCTAGTAAATGGCTCAAGAATACTTGAGTCTCAGAGTTTACTTTAAAACTTCATAAAAGGTATAGTGTAACTGGATTTCATTTTTTTAGTGTAGATGTTTTTACAATAAGAATCTGCATGTGATTGGCAAAAGTGTTTACTATGTTTAGAGCCATGTTTAGAGCTTTTACCTTCATGAAAGTTTGTGAACAACCACCAAGTAATTGGAATGTCTAGCAATAGTAAGTCAATGTGATTGGAATTTAAGCCTCTGTGGGTGATGTGCAATATATCTGTCAAGCTGTAACAACTGTATCTGAACAAATGATGTGTAGGGCAGTGGGAGTGGGGGGTACACCTATTAACAGTTTTTCAAGTAGGTGATAACAATTCTAACAATATTCTGGCCACAATGAGGCTTCACCACCATTCACAGCTTCAGATTGTAACAACAACTCTCATGTGATGATCATGTGACCTAAGTGAGTTTCATCACATCAGTGTGAATCACCCATAGAGGCTTAAATGGCAAGAGATGTCTTCAAGATTATACTGAAAGTCCTGTTGCCCTGACTTGCGAGACAATTTCATCTTTAGACTACAAGTCAAATATAAGTCAATCCTAGTGGCCTTAATAGAAGCAAGAGAATACGACTGTAGTGTTTCTATATGGTTCACTGTTCACCATAGGAAAAAAACTTACCTCCTTTGTATTCATTGATGGCTTCTGACAGGGCATCAATAGACTCTATGTCCAGGTTATTGGTAGGCTCATCCTATAAGAACAGAACAAATTCAAATTTGCTTCAACTTCAAATTTAAATCTTCAGAGGGACATTTAATACAAATGTTACTACTAACCAATATTAGGACGTCAGGCTGCCGACATGCAAGTTCAGCGAACACCACTCTCGCTTTCTGGCCACCTATTAACAGAACAAAACAGTAGTCGTTAAAAGCAATGGCGGTCAAAACGCTCTCCTAATCCTGCTGCTGGGAATCCACTGTATTTCACAGTTCAACACAATTTTACCAGATCCAGCTCATCAGCATGTTTGTTAAGCCCTTCGTGAGCTGGATCAGCTGTGTTTAACGGCAGTTGTCCCCAGGAGAAGGATTAAGAAACAATGCTCTAGACAGACTTGAGCTCTTACCAGAGAGTTTGGAAATCTGGATAGTGTGTGCATGGCTCTCAAGGCCAAAGCGCCCAAGACACTTCCTGCTGTCCTGGTAGGGCAGGTTGAAGTTCCTCTGCAGGTACTCTGTAGGGGACTCTTCCATGTTCAGCTGATCAGCATACTGCTGGTTGAAGAAGCCTACTTTCTGTACACATACAACAATCAATTAAACTCCAACATAAAAAAAAAAATCACAGTGGATAGAGTATATTAACAAGGTGTTTATGCTTACCAAACGGTGATTCTTTCTCATCTCTCCCTTTGTCTGAAATGTAAAGGACATCGTTTACCGTGTGCAAAGTTGAATCTGAATGACTCTGAATTCATTTAAATAAATTTCTAGTATTTATGTCCTGATTATATGACTGTATTAACATTGTCATTTAATATACACCAGCACCAACACCTGCAGTAATAAAAGATAGTGCTAATATAAGTATGAAGTACATTTCAAAAGTACCACTTCACAGTAAACGAAAGAAAGGAAAGCAGCATAATACACAATACAGGAACTTACAGGATTTAATTTTCCTGTCAGGAGAAGTAGGAGTGTACTCTTTCCAACACCATTTGGTCCAACTATACAGACTGAAACAAGAAATATTTTGATGTTAGTTCTACCCTAAAGGACAGTGATATGACAAAACCAGTATTACAATTCTTAAACGAATAGCCAAACTATGAGTACAATGACTGTTACTCAATAAATTACAATGTGTTGCACTAAATCCAATTAAACAGGGCCAATTACGCTCTCTTTCTAAAGACACACACCATTGCTCGATGTAGTGGCAATATCTATGATATTCTCAAAGCGTCTTGTGATGATTTATCAGAACAATAAAATACGGTCATAATGACCGCCCCCGTTTGCAAAAGTCAGAGATTTGCTCAAATTTGCGCAGTGACTAGCTCCCTCTGTGTGACAAAGTATGAATGGCAAGAATCAGTATTTGCAGGTGCTGCTATTGGTGCCCATGTACACATTCACATAAGATAAACAGTATTACAATGATGAATAACATGTACACTAAACTTGATGAAATACCAAGCACTTTTAATGTGTTAATATGCATTGTTCCTAAAAACTGTTCAAAATATTAAAATGTACTTTCTGAAAGTGTTTACACCTTTAACTAGCATGCGGTTTGGTGATCTGATCAAATTTGGATTTTACTTTGACCGCATAAAAAGCCAGGTGTGCGCATCCCAGGACGCACTGTGGGCAGATTACAATCAGATCTCTCAAACCACATTCAGAGGGTCAGAGACCAATCTTCATCACAATTAATACCCGTGTAAACAGAATGCATTTTTGTTATCTGTATACAATTACGCAAGTGGAAATGCGTCTGTCGAGTGCTGACTAGCAGGTGAGAGAATAAACAATGAAACAAAAAGATGAAAGCTGAAGTTAGCTCTAGACCACATGCCTTCATACAAGCTTGTCGACTCGTATGATAATGGAGAAGAGAGTAAATAAAAGTAAAACGGAAACACGGCGCATGTGTTGATGTGTTTTTACATATAAAAAGTACAGTCAGATCTCTTCTGGTCACACTAGGGACTACTATCTCGCCACACTAGGGACACATTCTAGAGAAAAGTGTAAACGGAATCCAGCCAAAGATTATCCGGACACAAAACATATGCTGATGCAAGTTTAAACATTTACAGCATTTAGCAGACTAACAGTAAACAGGCTCTGAGTTTCTCCAGAACATTTAATGCAACTTACTTCGAGATTCCATGTCAATTCCAAAGTCCACATTTTTGAAGAGAGGTTTCTGACCCTCATAACCAAAGTCCACACCTGAGCAGAGAGAGAGAGAGCGAGAGAGCAAGAGAGACTTAGCTCTGTTTCAGTAAACATCTGATCTACATTTCATAACAAATATGGAAATCTGACTAGTTGATTTTTATGATGTTTCCTCAAACGCCCATAGTGTTGGTAAGGCTACTGTGTGAGGTGAGTGTGGCTTTACAGAGTCAAGAGAAGTTTTAAATAAGGACTTGCTGTGCAATTTTCATTAAAACTTACAGATGAAACCAAAGTTATCTGCACTAAGGAGGTATAGATTATCCCTCATAATCAGATCTGCATCTTTCTGATACAGAACATTTTTCTTAAGAATACATTTTTTGTAGAAGCAGATGTTGTATGCAGTAGAGGTGGAAAAGTGCTAAAAAGGGTTAAAAGAAATGTAGGGATAATGATCATAATTGAGTTAATAATCATCATCATAATAAGTTTGTTTTCCTTTCTCAAATAAAGTGTTGCTCTTTCCCGTAATTAAGAACTTGCTTGCCTGATCCTGGCTGCATTTTGAGTCCTCATCCGAAGTGCTTTCAGTGCTTGTTTTTGTT